CCCGGAGCGTGCTCTTCCTCTCTGGAGCAGGCAGGAGCAGAGGAACAGGGGATGCCAGACCAGACCCAGGGCACCACCGGCGTGCTCTTGCTCTGGATTAGCTTGGCATCTTTACCAGTCCTAACTCCTCCCCTGTCTTTTAAAATTAACCCCCTTGCCTGCAGCTGTGGAGTGTTTCTTGGGCTGAAACAGTTCCAGCTTTAATTGGAGGTGACCTGTTACATGAAAACTGATTTTATTTTATAACTTGCCAAAAATGAAGTGAGGCTAAAACGGAACAGGGTGACTTTGCTTTTACCAAGACATGGATTGAACCCAAATTAGTCCTTCATCCTCTTTCTCTCAAGCGCTTTGTGGCTTGTGAAGTCTTAGTTTTCTGCCCTGCTTGCTTTGGTGGACAAAGGTGGGCGTCAGTGGGTGGGGAGAGCCATTGCCCAGGGTGCTGCTGTCCCGGGCCAGCGGCCCCAGGGTGGGAGGACAAGGCGGTCCCTGCTTGCTGCCTGCACTCTGCTCTTCCCCCTTCACAGGTGGACCCTTACCTGCCTTACGAGTACACCTGCGAGGGGATGCTGGAGCGGATCCACGCCTACATTCAGCACCAGGTTGGGGAGCATCCCTGTTCTCCTGGGGGAGCATCACCGTCCTCCCTGGGGAACCATCCCTGGTCTCCTGTGGGTCCATCCCTGTTCCCCTGGGGGAGCATTCCTGTCCTCCCTGGGGAACCATCCCTGTTCTCCTGTGGGTCCATCCCTGTTCCCCTGGGCAAAAGATACTGCTGCCCCGATGCAGGTGCCCAGCGAGGGACCCCAAGTCCCAGCCCTGTGCAGCCAGTGGCTGAATCGCAGAGAGCACCAGGAGATGGGAGCTTGGGGAGGTTTGTTGTGAATGAAGGATGCTGGGGGGTTGGCAGAGGGGGGCTGGGGCTGGATAAAGGCATTTCTGCTGCAGAGAATAAGGCAGCACTGGAAAAAGAGGTGGCTGGTGCCTTCGTTTCCCACAGCAGGAGATGCCATCCGTGCATACAGGTGACCTTGACCTGAGGAGCAAACTCAGCAGCCCAAGTGTCCTCCTGTCCCACCAGCAGCCTCTCTTCCCCATCTCCAACACCTTGCCCTGTCTCTCTGGGCACTGACCCGTTGTCTTCTCTCCCACTAGGATTTCTGCACCACCTCGTCTCCTCCTCTGCCTCCCAAGGCCAAGAGTCCAGCTATGCAAAGCCCTCCAAGCCCGCTGGCCCTGTCCCCCAACGCCACTCACCTGGTGTGGTCCCCCAGCGCCAGCCGGGACCCCCACGCCTGGCCCCCAGTGGATTCTCTGCAGGTGTGGGTGTCGGAGACCCATCATGCCTGCACCGAGACGTGCCGGCAACATGGGCTGGTCTGCGAGCCCACCTTCTTCAGGTTCCTCAACAAGAAGGAGGTGTTTCTCCAGTGAGTTGTGATCTCAGCGAGGTGGTGGTGGAGGCCATCAGCCAGATGATGGTCCTCCTGCTCCACTTATCCCGAGCACCCATTTTCCTTATGTCCTCCCTCCCAAAATCCCATTGAGGTGCCTTCACGCCCAAGGCAATGCAGGCAGGGCTCTGTCTGCAAAGCAGCCCGTTGCTTGCACGTGTTGGGCTTGACCAGCTTCATGCTTCAGAAGGCAACTATAGCCTTTCCAGGCTCGTTTCCACCTCTCTCCCACCCCGTTCCTCTCCACCTCCTCCACGCTCTCTCCCTTTCTCTCGTTCCTAATGTCTTTCTCTATAAAACTGCATTTTGAACACACAGCGGTGAAGTTTTAATAGAGTATAAATCTGTCATCGGGCTCCGTGCTGCTCTGTGGGCAATTAAAATGCGAGCATTACCATTGCTGTCACGCTGGTCAGGCAGGCGCTGTGAGTCCCACTGACATTTTTATATGATAAATTAAAGCTGGGGCTTGGAATTCACTCTCTCCCCTCCACGCCCCCCTCCAGACCTTAAAACGAGCTGGATCAGGGACTCATTGTTTGCGAGGGGTTGGCAGGAGGGCGATGCTGGTGCTGCCGCTCCGTCCGCAGATGTGAGCACGGGTGGGAGGTGAGGGATGCTGAGATCCACCCCGGGCATGTCTGCGTCTCCTCGGGGCGTTTGCTGATGCCTGTCGCTGTTTTGCTGGCTAATCCCAGTTAGCAGGGGACGTGTGGGCATCCACTGACTTCGTGTGCCCTTCCAGGGGACTTTAGCTGCTGTGGGAGGTGTGGACAGACCTGTTGGTCAGCGGGGGCATATAAAAGATTTTTGCATGTGATTTCCTGAGCCCACGCAAGGGTTGAGGTGGTCTCTAGGCTGCAGTGTTGAGTTGCAAGGGTCACCCCTTCCTGCGTGGTGTGTTGGGCTGGTGACAAGCTTTCAGCATGGGGTGCCAAACGTAGCGCTCACGGTTCCTGGTGCAACCAGCAAAGATCTGCCCAGCGCTTAGCGAAGGAACGTCCCCAAGAAGGACAGAACAGCACTAAAAACCCTTCAGTGAAACCCCAGGCAGCCTCCCTACCTGAACCAACCCACCTCTGTCTTATTCCCAGGCTCAGCATCACCTGCGACAGCACCGAGTACGAGATGAACCATCTCTACCCAGCGGTGGCCGAGAACGTCCACGAGTGCTACCTCCAGAAGGAGCCGCTGCTCTTCAGCTGCGCGGGCTACAACACCAAGTACCGGCGCCTCTGCCCCTGCCGCGACTACCGCAAAGGACAAGTGGCTCTGTGCAGAGACTGCTTGTGACTTGGTGTGCATCCCCGCCGTGTTTCCGACACGCAACGTGCAACGAGTGGCTTTTTCTCAAAGCTTCTGCAATAGTCAAGGGAGGTGGGACAGGTCCCTCCCGGTGGGTGAGCTGGGGCTGTCAGACTCTGGGGGTTGTTTTGTCCACCAGTCAACTGTGAATGACCATGTCCTGACCTTTGGTTTCATTTTCTTCTCGAGGAGCATCATCCAACCGCATCCGAACCCACCTGGACCTGGTGGCGCTGGGACAGGGCGGTGGGGAGAGGGGGGCCGGGAACATCCTTCCCCTCCTCTGGCAATGGGACAAGCCACCAGCAGACTGCAGTTTCAGGGTTTTCATCCTCTTCAAGCATCCTAGCTTGTTTTATTTATTGATGGTTTTTTTTTAACCCTTCCCCCTGACAAGTGGTAAATTAAAGGGGAAGCGACACCCAGCCCTTCTGTGGGAGTTATTGGGCAGAGCTGTGTTGGGGGGTGCGGGGGGGCTGCCGGTGCCCACCTTGGCTGCAGAGCTGGGGAGAACAAAGCCCGAGGAGAGCGGCTGAGGTGGATGGATGCAGCGGGGTCTGCACCCACGGTGCCCCCCGGGAACAGCCGGCGGGGGCTGGATGGCCCCATGCTGTGCCCAGGCAGCGAGGAGCAGGATGGGGCTGGGAAGGGCTCCCGGGAAGGGTGCTGGTCCCCGGGGCGGCGCTGTTGGCAGGGTGGAGATGCCCGAAGCGAGTTCCCCCCCACGCTGGGCCGTGCATGGAGCTGTATGTCCCTCCAGGGCCTGGCACATCGGTGGCGGGGGCACGGGGGCTGCTGGGGAGGAGGAGGAGGAAGGGGCAACTCGGCAGCTGCGAAAGCAGCGTCTCCAGATGTTGCAGCGGTGGTTGGTGGTGAGCTCCAAGCAACCATCTTCCATGCCCCGTCTTCACTTCTTCAACTTTTCTTCATGCTGTTCATCTTTCCTCAGGGTAGCTTTCGCTGCTGCTGCTGCTTCCCCTCCTGGCACGTCCCCTGGCTGGGGTAGTGCTGCCTGGGGTGAACCGATTTGTTTTTGTAGGGTTGCTCACTCGAGCAAGGCTGTGAGTGTGTTGCTGTGAGGTTGGTGCTCGGCCCTCCTGTTGCTTGGAAGCATTCGACGGTGAGACTCCTGCATCCTGTAAAACACCTGGCTAGAAAGTTATGGGCTGGAAGCTCCCTGCCAGCCCTTCCCGGCACAGGAGAGCTCCTGGTCCGGCCGGCGAGGGAGGCTGGTGGGGTGGCAGCCTGGCCTGGAGGTGTCACCGCGGGGTCCCGGGCCCTGGCAGGCTTGTCCCTCCCTGGCTCGAGGCGATTGATGGAGAGCAGTGGTGTGGCAGGATGAGCGTGCGAGGTCTCCTCCGTGACCCAGGGGCTCGCCGGAGCTGTGCCCCACGGCCCAGGCACCTCTGGCCATCCTACCCGCAGCTTGGTGGCTTGCAGCTGGGTTTTGGGAGAAAATCCCGTTCCTTCAGCTGCGCAACAGCATGAGGCAGACCCCAGCCCCCCCAGCTCCCCTTGCCGTCTCCCCACTCTGGCCCCGGGAAGGGGGACACCGCACGGTGCTCATGTCCTCCGGGCATCCCTTCGGCCGAGCCCCTGAGCCCACGGCGGTGAGACCGGTCGCGCCCTGTGCTGGATGAGGCTGCCGTTATCCTGGAGCAATCTGTCATCTTCAGTGCAAAATTGCGCAGGCAGCCTCCATCGTGCCTGCGACGCCAGGCAAGGGGAAGGATTGATTAAGTAATTTTTGTGTCTTGCAGCCAGCATGTGTATATAAATAAAAGCAGCGCAACCCTCTCTTGGCAGAGCTGAACAGCAATACCTTGTGCCTTTCTGTGGCACCTTTCAGCTTGGTCTCAAAGCATCGCCTGGCAAAGGCTCCCGCGCTGCTCACCCCGGCTGCTGGGAGCACTGGATGTGCAGGAGCTGGCCCAGGAGAGGCACCGGGGATTTGCAAGCACAAACCACCAGTGATTCACTTCCCAGGGCTGTAAGGACCAAATAAAACCTGTTTTTATAGGGGATCTAAGCGAGCTTTAAAGACCAAGAGGCTCGGGATGCCTTGTGAGGCAGCGCTCGTTGCACATCAGCTCCCCGGGCAGCTTTCTCCACCGGTTCTGCTCAGCTGCTTTTAAAATAGCCTTCACCTCTCAGCAGCTCAGCGCCTGCCTTCTGTCGCAGAGACTCCCAATTATCCCCTGGCAGGAGCGTTTTTTTCCCAAGCTGAAATATAAGGCGGCTGGCTCACCTTCGCCACTGTCATGGGAAATAACGATCTGTCTGGAACCTTGTTGGATCTCGCGCCAGCCTGTAAATTTGGGTGATGGGGCTGAGTAATGCTCTGGTATTACCTGTCATGTCTCTGCCCCATCAGCCGGCACCGAGTCCCGCTCTCACTGCGACCCAAAGGGTGGGTGCTGCCTGGGGAAAAGCCTCTCTTGTTGGGCGTTGGTGACTGCACATCGCTCGTGGGTGCTGGATGTAACGGGGACCGGAGTGTGGGTGCTTGGGGCAGCCCCTCCTGCCTCGTCCTGCGTGGAACCCCAGCTGCTGGGAGCAGGGGGATGTCTTGGTCTGTAAAAAATCCCACGGAGGGGCAAGGTGGTGTCTTGGCTGGGGGGGGGTAACACCGATGCTGGGTATTAACGGCGGCTTTGGGTGCAGAATTGGCACCGAATTGTTTGTTATGCGGGGGTGCGTGTGCCAGGGCTGTGCGTGGCTCAGGGAGTATCGGCTCCCGCGTCCTGGGCACCCCGACACGGAGGTGGCAGCGAGGGACGGGGCTGCTGGGCTGGCAGCAGCTCCCAGAGGAGCTGGCTTAAATGAGAAGGGACATCGTTACCTGGAGATGCTTTTTCTCTGCCTGTCTCTGGCCCTGGCTGTGTCCGAGCGATCGCTGGAGCATCCCGCTGCCTTCCTGAGCCCTTTTCCAAGCACTTGCCCCAGTCTCCCTGGCCAGGACACGTTTCCATCTGGAAAGGAGATCTGAGGATGATACAGACATTAAGTTCACATATTTTTAAGTATGGAGCATGGAAGAGATTTAAAGGGAGGCCGAAGTGCTGCCATATGAAAGAGATTCTAATTACTGCAGCTAATTACCAAGAATAAATCCCCAGTTGGGAGGGGGAGAGAGGAGGAAACAGTGTCAAAACTGCGAATAAAATCAAACGATTAAAAATCAAACGAGGAGCTGTCAGCTACGCCCTCCGGCTGCCGGTGGATGGGACAGTGTATTGAACAACCAGAGCACGTCCATGGGGAGCCCCTGGGGTCTGCTCAGGGAGACATGGACCTCCTAATGGCATCTCTGGTGGCATTGCAGCTAGCAGAGCCTCCTGGATGGTTTGGGGGTTTTTTTTAACCTGTTTTCTGGCAGCTGTGAAACCAGGACAGGCGTGTCGAAAGAATGATATTGTTCTGGAAATCCATTTTCCGTACCTAGAAATGGAGCTGGGGGCGATTTTTGTTTCTGAGCCTCACTCTTAGTAATTCCACTCAGAACTTTCTGGAAGTTTGTTTTTTGGTTGTTCCCCCCCCCCTGTTTTTAATGTTGATGGCATCAAAACTTTCCCTTGCCAGTAGAACTGGGGCAGTGGGGGGGGTCTGGCGAGAGGGCGGATGGTCCCTGCACCCGCATCCCCTCGCAGCATCCCGCTGCCGGCTGGGCCCTCTCCCTGCACCAGCATCTTCCCCGGCAGAGGCTGAGCCGCCGTTGGCTCCCAGAGCAGCAATCTGGGCTGTAAATCACAGCTGGAGGGAGGTAATAGGGCTGCTCCGCTCTTATCTGGGGCTTTATTAGGAAATCGTTAAGCGGCTTTTCCCTCCTGATGCCCTGCTTATCAGCAGCCGGGTAAAATGGCAAATTGCATCCACGATGTGGACAGTCCAGGCAAAAGAAACCCATTTATTTCCCCTAACGGGTTTATCGCTAGATCAAGGAGCTGCTGAAGATGTAAGCACCGGTGGTTATTTCCCCAGGTGATGGATCTAGCTGCCACACAGCCTCCGGTAACCAAAGCACGCTGCCTGACAGGGATGTCTAATGGACCCGTGGTCGGGACTACTGGCTCATGTATTTCAAGGTCTTACTTTAATTGAGTCCTGTCTCCCTGCTGTCACGCTTTTTTTCTTTTCCCTTTTTTTTTTTATTTTTTTCCCCTGTTAGAAAGACTTCCTAAAATAAACTAATGCGTTTAAGCTCCTGTCCCCTTCCCTCATCTCTCCCTCCCTGTGGCAAAGCCAGAGCCATAAAGAAAGTTAGCAAATTGAAAATCTGTCCTCAGACTTACTGAGTGAAAAGAGCAGTGAAATCTTTTGCCTTTTTTTTTCTGTTCTTTTTCTTTTTTTCTTCTTTCTTTTTCTTCTTTCCACTAGAAAGGACTTGAGGGAGGGTGTGAAATCCCCTTTTCAAAGCTGTGGGGCTGAGTGTTCCCTTTCTTATCAGCTCAAGCAGTGACGCCCAGTGACACTCATTGTGGCTCGTTAGCGGAAAGCCATTAAAACTCTGGATCGATATTTTCTCGGGAGAGATAGGGGCCCATTCAATATTATTCCCCAGGCAGGCAGAGAAATACCAGGATCCATCCACAAAGCAGAATAAAACTGCTGAGGATGCAGCTTCTCCTGCCAGAACCTGCCAGAACAGGACGTCCCCCAGCCCGGGCAGCATCGGAGCCGAGCCAGGATCTGGCCCTCGGCATCCAGGTCTTCTGGAAAGGGGGGAAAAAATTACAGGTTGGGAGGATGGGGGGAGAGGGGAGTGTTTGGGGGGGTTAGGTGCCTCTGCGGGGCTTCACCCCCAGCCAGGGCTCCTGGGTGCAGGTGCCACCGTTGCCTGCAAAAGGCTTCAGCGGGGCAAAAATCTGTAATAATGTGGCCATTCCCAGCACCCGGCTGCTGGCTTTGGGAAACTGGGAGGAAAGGGGCTGG